CCCCTGCAGCAGCCAGAGGGAGCTCCAGGCTGGGAATGGCTGGGGGCTGCACACACTGTACATATTGCCCTTTAAATTAACCAGAGCTGCAGTGGGGAGAGGAGGAACCAGGTTCAGACCCACCAGCCAGTTGGGGGACCTCATTCAGCAGCACCAGCCATGACCGCTCTGCCACCCACCCACCCTCCACGGGTCTGGCCCTCGATCCTCTTCATTACATGTGATCCTTGTTTCCCACATTGGCATGCTGATGGTGTCTTAATAAACCCTACAGGAAAGTCCTGTTCCCGCTTCCTCCTCGTGTCTCCCTTCTCCCCACTCCCGACAGTGCTTACTGCCCCCCTCCCCACCTCCACACACACTCGGGCACAAGGCATCACCCCAAGCCAGCACCATCGAGCTGGACTGAGATCCTGATCTCCACACAGGAACCATGAACAGGTCTCCCACCCCACCCCCTGTCCTCTGTGGCCCCCCACTGCCTAGGGTGCCTGGGAGCAAACTGTTAATCTAATGGCATCTACTCTAATTCTGCACCCAGGAAAAGAAACTCCAGTAAGAACTGTGCTGGAGTTCATTCAGCTGTGCTAATTGCATGAATAGGTGCACCCAGTTAACAGCGTTCTCGTATTAGGACTGAACATATCATGGGAGGAAGCAATACTCCCCCTTCCAGTCCTAGGATCCTATGAATATTTTGAAACAAGCAAGTGAGGTTGAGACCTTCAAGCTCATTTAAAGTAAGCACCTAACTTACTTTCAGGTTTTGGTTTTTTTTTAAACCGTCAACTTGTTTAAGCAGCGGTGAACAGATATCTATGGCCCTGAATTTTTTTCCCAGTGATGTGGTAACCCCCCCTTACTATGATCAAAACACAGTAATGTGTTTTGTGATCAGTAGCAAAGTTGATCAGCAAATTTCCCTTAAAACACTTTTTGTTTGGGAAGTACTGTTTTAGTATCACTGGGCAAGTTTCTCAAAACCTGAGTCATGTCAACTCGAGTTCCAGCTGTTCACACTTGCATGAACTATTAGGAGGACTAGTTCCCATCTGTGTATCTACCCTCCAAAAGGAAAAAGAAAAAAAAAAAGATTGTGAAATAAGACACACAGCAATCCTTCTGTCTCAGTGTCTATTCACTTGCAGTTGACTGATTTAATCCACAATATAAATTAATGATACTATTACAATGATAATAATAATAAACTCATAGGGTTAGAAGGGGCCTCCAGGATCATGTGGTCCACCCCACTGCACAAATGCAAGACTGTTACTCCTAAATCATCCATGACCAATGACTATCCTCTTTTTGAAAACCTGAAATGAAGGAAACTCCACAATGTCCCTGGGCAGTCTATTCCACGTCCACACTGATCTAGAAACAAGGGTGTTTTTCCCCCTGAAATCTAATCTAAATCTACTTCCCTGTCATATGAAGCTTCATGTCCTTCCCTATTCAACAAGGAAAAACAATTGTTCACCCTCTTCTTTACAGCAGTTTTTCAGGTATTTCAAGACTGCTATGATCTGCTTCTAATCTATGGGTCTTCTGATGGACTCTAGGGAGTTTGGGGCTATTAAGAAAGTGGAACCTGACACAGAATCAGGAACTATGGGACCCTGTTAGACATGGTTATTGATGACAGGTGGAGTGAGCTAACGATGTACCAGCATTTAGCTCACTACCATTTACCCTGCCTCTGCTTGCCCCACTGCTTCCATCACTGGCCCTACCACCATTGCTTACCTCCACTGCATGCCCTGCCACCTCCAGCATGGCTCAGGGAGCAGGGAAGCTTGATAACCCTGCTATTTAGGAAGAGGATTGAGCTCTGTTGGCCTGAGCAGTGCTATAATGGGGATGACTTGAAACCATGACACAATATCCTTTTCTTTAAAAAATTGCACCAGAAGCCAACATAGTTGTGCCAGTCCACATCTGTGCCTAGACCTTAATAACCTGAGATATTTTTCATGCACAGACAGTGAAAGTCACCTCTTTGGTAATCTTTTTCTCCCCTGGAGTTGAAGGGGAACCTCCATAACATGATGCAGGGGCTACCACAGTATGAGCTTGACCAGGGATGCACAACGTGGGGTGATATGTGAAATGGCCTGGGGGCTCCCCCCCCTAGTCTGGAAATTTGGTTGCAGGAGAGCAGTGGCACTTCTCCCCTGCTACCAAATCTTCAGATCCAGAGGGAGCCCCAGGCCCTGCACACTGGATCTGACTCCTCATCCGAGTGTGCAGGGTCAGGCCGGGGTGGCACCTCACCCCAGGGCCCAATCTCAGTGTGGGAGGCAGGGGGAGAGGGTGGTTCTAGCCCCCGGGGACTCAATTACAGTGTGGGAGGGGGTCAGTGCTGGCCCCACAGGACCCAATCTCAATGTGTGGGATGGGGAGGGGGTGGCACTGGGCCCTAGGGCTTGATCCCACCAGAAGACAGCATGATCCAGCCCATAGACAGGCTCTGGGCCACTCAGCTGGCATGTGGGGCCAAAAGATTGAACAGTACTGAGCTAGACTGTTGGTGCTTTATAATGGCACATTGAGATGGAGGAGTACTATAAGATACTCACATCCTCTGCTGCTCTGCTTATGGGAGGACTGTAGCACATACTCATCAGTGGGTTTAGTTAAACTAATCCAAAATGTTAGGTGCAGACTTTCATATATTTAAATTGTCTATAGTTTCCATATAAAAAGCTCTGCCAGTTTCCCCGCATTAAATCATATTTTAGTTACATTGGTATAGCACAATGACCAGGCCCAAGTCCAATTGGCTTTCAAAGTCATGTACAGCCAGAAGGTTAAAAAGTATTTAGGCACTTCAAGGCTCCTAAATACATTTGTATTTAATCTGTAGGCTCCTCAGTGATCTAAGTGTTTTCAAAATATTGCTAGTCATACTCAAGATTTACAGAGCCTGGTAAAATGCTTACCAGTGCAGGGTCCTGGTCCTCAACCAGGGTTGGCAGCAGCTACTGCCAGGTAAGTGAATAATAATAAACATAGAAATTTTTTTCACATGGTTCAGCCTGCCACAACTGCCATGATTTCCTGTTAAATTCTCAGGTCTAGTGACACTCAGCTGCTATCTCTTTTGCAAAATCTTCCCCTTTATCCCTGGGGCTTTCCTAGCAGATGCAAATTGAAAATGTAATGAATGACTGAGTTTTACTCCAAATTCTGGAAACACCTAGGGGAATTATGGTTTTACTCTTAATTCAATTAAGTGCTTGGGCCAGCTAAGTGAGATCACATTAAGCACATAATTAGATTGGAAATGATCAGCAACGGGAGTATCAGTTATGTGAGCTGCAGTCGCATCAAAATCTGGCTCTTCTGCTGTTGTGAACACAACTACACTCATGTAATTGGTGGCAGTGACTGGTAAGGCTCGAAGGACTGGAGACTCAGGGAGATGCCTGGGCTAACACTCAGATGCTTTAAGGAGCGTGAGAAGCTTCAGCATTCTTATACCCTCACACACAGAAAACAGCTTCTGGTTATTTTACTTTTAAAAGCTTACATCCCAAGTAGCAAAAGACAGTAGTAAAATCATACCTGTGAATACTAAACCAGGCAAAAACAAGGAGAGCATTCATTATGTAAATAATACTTATTATTAAGCGATACACTACTAATAGTTTGATATCGTATCATTATTACCTAGTTTTACATATGAGCTGCAAAACAAACCCCTTGAATGAAGGGGAGAGTTCTGCAAAAGAACAGACAAAGTTCTTTGGGTAAACCTGATATCTTTTATTAAACTAACTCAAATAATTGGAAAAAATCTTCTTTGCAAGCTATCAGACAAGTACCCTTCAACGAGCTGAGAAAGTATCCATGGTTGCTCTGTGATCTTCCTGGATGGAATGAATAGTAAAGAAGCCAGAGCCTGGTATGCATGAAAGAAGGGCACCCCTGCAAAAGAACAAGCACCAGAATTTTGCCAGGAATAAGAGTTCAATGTTGCAGTTGTGGTTGACTGAGCCATATTGTTTCTACTGCTTCTGGTATTTCACTATTACTCACATATATGGCGGCACTATGTAAGAGCTACACTCATGGACCAAGAGCTAACTTTATTAGGTATTTTATCAGGCCTTTACAATTTTGTTGATCCTCTCCTGCAGGGGCTGAGACTCAATTAGGGCCAATGCAGTTAAATGGGAATTGTTAAGAGTTGAAACCTAATTGATAACCTCTGAGGTCATCCCAATTAAACATTTATTAAGTATTTCTCATAAATTATTCTCTTGGTTGCGGAGGGGGGCTGATTAATCAATCCCTTTTATTATCATATACCCAGTCAGGTTGTAGAGATGTGTGGTTGTAAACATGGAGAAAGTGGGGAATCACAGACGTGAGCTGTTGAAAGATCGGAACAAGAGCTCAGGGTTCCTGTGATCTGGCCTACACTCACCCTCCCAGGTATAAGCATGTTTTTGCATTTCCATTGTCTGATCTAAAGTGATTCTCTTGAAAAGAAATGTGTGTTCTCTTTATTCGAGGGTCCCATCTGACAAAGTAAGCTTCCTTTGTCCAAATTTGGGGATAGAGAGCATAATTTCAAAGAAAACACTTCATTTAATCAACACATGAACAAAAAATGGAAAAGTTTCTTTCAGAAGAAGTTGAAGTCAATGACATATAGAATCAAAGGCACACATGTCAGAAAGTGAAAGACCAGATGATGAAATTGGACTGTCTTCTTAAAGCCTGTGAAATCTCCCAGGAGAAAAAAAAAAAAAGATCTGCAAAAAAAGAAAGCCTCCCCCCTAAAAAAAATTTAAAAAATAGGGCCATATCTTGAGTCATTTGGAGATAAGCTATGTCTCAGTAAGAGGGGGGTTATATTAAAATACTGAGAACACCAAAAGAAATGTCATACCTAAACTGTATCAACTGGTAAAAATTATAATGGCAGTTCCATTACATGAGTGTTGAAAGAATATTTTCAAGACTCAGATTTATTCTGTCAGCACAGACATCCAATATGATAAAGCCTATATTAGAAGATGTTATTTTAGTTTGCTCAAGCAAGCTGTTCATGAAAACACAAAACCTCTGCCAAAGTCATGCAACATTGAAGTGCAGTCAAGTTAAAAAACAAAAACAAACATTACTTGTATAAACTTTAAATAAGTATTCCACATTACAAACATGTTTCTATTTTAAAAGCCTATTTCTTATTCTGAAATTAGTAAATAATTTATATGCTATGCCTGGAAGAAATTGCATTTGAACAGATTCAAAACAATTTGAACCAGTAACTGAGCCACTCTTATTTTTATTCTTATTTTTTTGGCAGGTTGACTTAGAACTGAATCTGAACTGATTGAGTGCACCTGAACCTGAACCAAACCCAAATAAATACTGGTTCAATTCTTTTAAGCAACGATGAGGATTGAACTCAGCTTATAGGACATAACTGTAATCCATAAGCTTGTTGTTGAATTTACTATCCTTTAGCCCCTGCACTTGGATTATGAAAATTTACATGATTAATTTATACAGCTTAAATTCATTGTACAGAATGAGCGAGATCAAGCTCCAACCACACTGCTTGAAACACTGAAGACACAGTGGCCTTCAATCAGTGTTCCCTAATCTGGACATTGCCCTGAAGATTTCTCTGACACTGCCTGTCAAAAACTGTGAGTTTATATTCTGAAACATGGCTAGGGTGAAAAAAGAGAAAGCGAGAGAGCGCTTAAATTAGGAACACAGAAGAGATGTCTCTTATGTACCTTGTTTCTTATGGCAGAAAAATAAGAACTGGTATGACAAATAGACTTTAATAATATCATAAAAGATTTTTCCACCCTTAAAGCTTGAAAGAGGCCAGTCATTTGAAATATAATAAATGTGTTGTGTTCTTATACTTGTGTCTCTTCCATATTTCCTTGTGTAGTTAGTGTTGGCTGTTTCCTATCATGGATATTGATTAGGGGGATCAACTTTTGTCCCTATGCTCTTTTGGCTCCAGATCCCCAGAATTCTTAGTCTTCCTTTGCCGGGGACCCCAGAAAGTCTCTTTAACTACTCTCTCATGCATGGCATAATCCAATAAGTGTACTTTTAGAAGGGCTACTTGATGATGACACAGCAAACTAGTCTGGGAATCTCATTAGTTGAGAGGACCCCAGAACCCTGAACTGGTTTGCAGACTTTTGTAGTGTAGTTTTGTGCCTGCCACTAAGCAGTGACTTAGGTACCTACACTACAGCTGAATAGAGATGTTAAGGAATTCAGTGATGTTTGAATATTTGACTTCAGCACTTAAATCCAAAGATATTTGGGCACCACATTAGAACTTTATCCCAAACAGTGTAACATGTATAACAGCAGGTGAAACAAGGGGCAGTCTGCAGAGTTGTGGGCTGACTACAAATTTGGACTACAAATTTCTGCTAATTTGGACTACAAATCCCAGAAACCCCAGGGGCTCAGAAGCTAGAGAAAGAGGAAGATGAAGCTTGAGATTGCAGTAAGGGGAAGAGAGATCAGTGTGCATGTGGAACATGGTCAGAGTGAGCAGTGGTGCTGGAGTCTCACTGGCTTGGTCAGCTAGGAGTGTGGACTGAAGGAGCTGATTCAGACTTGGGGGCAGTTGCAGGCTGATGTTTGATCGCCCTAGGGACTAAAGGCTTGTTTGGGGACACTTCTGGAGGGGTGTGTGGAAAATTAAGGTGCTGAATACTTGTTACCACAGTATTGATGTTTTGTTACCTTTTACCTTTTCCCTCCCTTTGGCCTGTTGGCTTGTGACCATAACCACTAACCCCTATGATTTTCTATATAAAAGTGGGAACTCTCCCTTTCTTCTTGTGCCAGTTTCTGGGGCTGCAGGGTTTGCACAACAGATCATTGGATTCAAAGGGGGATGTATCCACTTTACAAGAATAACAGGATCATATAGATAACAAAATCCAGAGTTATTGCACTGTGGCAGGGCACTGTTTGTGCCTGCCACTTCAAGATCAGAGCCAAACAGCTAGCAGGTGCTTGATTGTGGCAGCCATTTTAGATCCCTGGTTATTTATATAAATAATTCTGTCACCTGCCTGGTGGCCAGGCAGCAACATCACTTGGCTGCAAGGCTACTTGGAACATCCTGGAGGTAAAGGAGGAACTGTAGGGGATGTCTAGGAGGCTCCTGGTCCTGGGCATGACCTAAAACTGCACCCTGCTGGGAGTGGGTGGGGCTTTCAGTGGTTTGGGAGCCCCCAGGAAATGCCAGGCCAGTTACCACCCTGGTGAAAGGCATGTATGGGTTCCTTAACCCCAGCCCTCACCTTCAGGTGGGGTACTTGTACCATCGGTGCAGGGGAGGCCAGGTAAGCTTCAGGAAGCACCTGAGCCTGCTGGGGTAAATGACTCTGCAAGGCCAGGCATGCTTCAAGAAGCACCTGATCTTGGAATGGGGTACCCTGATCCCTGAGTGCAAGCAGGAGGTGTAGACCCAACAGAGGGACTTGACTGGTCAATGCTGGGGCCAGGACCAGAAGGGTAAGAGGGGCCAGAGGCCCACTGTGAGAGATGCCCATATTAAGCAAAGAAGCTCAGGGTCCTGACTGGCCTGAGACAGGATCAGGGCTTAGAGGAAAGCTGAAGGTCCCAGGAATGGGGCCACAGCTAATGGGCAAAAGGGACAGTTAAGTTGACTGCCTGAGATGTCATCTGCGAGGCGTGGGCTGTGGTGTAGGGGTAGAATGGAGCCGTGGATAGCCCTCCCCAACATTGGGGTGTATAATGGGAAGCCTCCCACCCAATTAACAACTCAATTATGTTCCATCAAGGTTTGGCAGGAAAGAGAGGTGGGTAGCATGCCCAGAGGCAAGTTGGGAAACTAACCCTGGGGCTAGTCAGGGACCCCTACTTTGCCACACTCTGAGACCTATTAAGTCTATGCTACATAACCTGGGATGTTCCTGAACCATATTATTGATGCATTAACTGGAAAGGAATTTCAACTCATCCCCTGCTTTTTGGATGGAAATGGTTGTATGGAAGGTATTGTTATTATCATCAGCAGTATCCCCTTGAATGGGAATGATGGCTGCATTGTAGACTTGGATCTTGTTGTCTTTCTAGAGATCACAATGGATTAAAACACAAGACAATTTCCTGAAGGAGGCACTTGCACACTCGATCCTATGCTAGGTCTTCTTATCAGTGTTTACTCTCTGAGATAGGTGGTTACTGAGGTAGGAGAAGTGTTCAACTATCTCCAGGGTCTGTCCCTCAACTGTAATTTGGGAAGAGCAGTCACATTCACAGGCCAGAACAAGCTTATATAACACTTTAAGATTCTCAATGTTGAGGAAAAAGGCCAAATTTTTGGTACATTTCTGTGAAGAGATCCAGTGCAGTCTGGAGGTTTTCTTCAGTTTGCACAAGGATAGCACAAGTCATCACTGTATTGAAGGTCAAGGATGGTTGTTCTGAGTTTGGTCTTTGAGTGAAAACATCCTACATTTAAAAGCCTTCCACCCATTCAGTACCCAATGCCAATTGTAAAAGGAAGACAGTCCTTCATAAAAACCAGGATCCTGATAAAAGGAAAACAAAGAACAGACATGGGGTAATGATGTGTCCTTGCTTGACTGTAGTTTGGATGATAAATGGATTTCTCTCCAATCTACTACAAAGAACAATCAAAGTCATTTAATCATGGAGAAGCCTCAGGAACTTCATGTACTTTTCAGGGCATCAAAATCTGGTCAGTACTTTACACAAGGCTTTGTGACTGACCTCACTAAGGCCTTTGACTCTGTCAATTAAACCCATATACAGATCAAATAATCATAGAAAATGAGGGGTGGAAGGCAATTCAGAAGGTCATCTTGTCCAACCCCCTTCTCAAAGCAGGACCACCTCCAGCTAGATCATTCCAACCAGGGAGGCTTTGTCAAGCTGACCTTTGAGCCTCCAAAGATTTCATCAAAATGCACAGAAAAGCCAGGAAGTTTGTGGAGTGTGTCAGGGACAACTTTGTGCTGTAAGTGCTGGAGCAGGTAGCTCAGGGCTATGCTCTTAACCAGCTGCTCACAAACAGGGAAGAATTAGTGAGGAATGTACAAGGAGATGGCAACTTGGGCAGTAGTGACCACAAGATGATTGAGTTTGGGATCCTGAGGAAAGGAAGGATGGAGAGCAGAAGAGTAAGAAACCCGGACTTCAGAAAAACAGACTTCAACTCAGTCAGGGAACTCACGGGCAGGACTCTATTTGGGACCCTGACCTTGTCTGTTCCTGATGCCATGTGCTGTCCTTTTATGGTAAAGCCCTGATTGCCTGTGCCCTGGTTCTATCCCTAACAATAACAAGCACTGAGACCTGGCAAAGTTGAGTCCTCCCTCCCCACTTTCAAGTGAGTGAAAACAAGACCAAAATGAATGTCCTTGTTGAAACAGGGAATCCAATTATTCAATGAGCATTGTGGTTGCTCTTCCCACATGTCAACATGCATACCCTTGACTTGCCAGTAATCTCTATCAATGCTCAAGGTAGATGGTAAAGGGCTCCTGTTAGAGATTCCCTTGCTCATTGTCACTGTCTTAGAATGCCAACTGCAGTCACTTCTGATAAGGAAGCTATTCCACCAGTAAGAACCAACCATCTTCCACATGTGCTGGGCAGAATGAAATAGGCTAGCAACATCTTGAGAAAGTGAAAGTTGGAAGTTCTGGCCAAGGCCCAAGAGACCTCCATCTGCTATGGGGTGGTGCCCAAATGTATATTCTACTCATGTCCTGTAAGTGCCTAACTGATAGCTCAACACTTCTTTCCTGGGTTTCTGTGCATTACATCATGAGCAGCTGAACAAGGTGTGCTGGTTTGCTGAGAATCAGCTGGAATTGTTCTCTCCATTAATCGTAGTGCATGAAGCAGAAATGGCAAATGGCTGAGTACTTCATCAGGGAGATAAAACTGGATGTGTGGAGGACAGTAATGTTGGCTAGTTTCCTAAAACACCTAACATTGAAATGCACAGTGATCCATGATCCCCCAAAACACAACTGAGAAAGAGCCCTTTATGTTGGTGGAGTTATGGTGTAGAAAGCCAGGGAACTGGAACAACCATAGAATTAGTTATACTGATGCAACAGGAAAATCCCATCTGAGTAAATCTGTTAGGGCAGCTATATTTGGATCTTGGGGGGCACTGGATTTGCAGCTGAATAAAGGCATGACCTGTGGCCTAGCAGAGCTGCTAACCATTAGGCATGTGCGAGTAGGCAGCTATTCAATCCAGCTTTGGATTCGGCCACTTTGGATGCCAGAGATCCAATCTGGAGCTCCGGACCAGGTTTCTGCTTCTATCTGGACTTAAGTGGTTCCGAAGCTTTGGAGCTGCCTTGGAGATGCGGCCATAGGGTACAATGGGGAGTCAATGAAATATCTATAACTGTGTTGTTTTTTGTCTGATTTAGAGGAAACATGTAGGGATGGTAGCCTCTGATGAGAGCACAAAGCCTACCAAATTTCAAGAAGATCAGTACAGGGGTTTGGGAGGAACTGTACCCCAAATTCTTGAAAGCAAAACTCA